ATTGGAATTTGTTTCTCTAATTTTTTTTGTTGTTGTTCTGAAAAACTTGGAAAGGAACAAATTTGTCAAATGACATTTCTTACAGAAAAAAATGCTTTTCAGCAGAACCACATTTTTCCTCAGGAAAAAAAAACCTTTTTTTAATCAGAAAATTTCCTACCAGTTCTGTTGATAAGATACTTAGGTGTTTTGCTGAATCAGAGCCTTACTCTGTTTTGCAGTTTTTCATTTATAAATGAGAATAATGCTTCCTTTGTCTTTTCTGTTTAAACTATACCAAAAAAAATGGGGGCAAAGGCTGTCTGTTGCAATGCCCAGCACAATCAGGCCATGGTCTTCATTTGAGTTTCTGTGCAGGACAACACAGATAATAAAATGTTAAACTTTTAAAGAACCGTAAATTTACACAGCACTTCACAAATGTAGTTAGACTCCTCCTCTACCCTGAAGAGTTTACAATCTGAACAAGACAAGACACAGGACAGTATTTCATTAGTTGGAAGGATTTGACAGTTAATAAAGCAGGGTGATAATTTGGAGAAGGAGGGCTTCAGGAAGCACTGGAGAGAAGATTCTTGGTAGAGAAGTTCCAGAGACTGTTCCAGATTTGGGCAGAAGGAAGGAATGAAGCACAGACTGTGCTAAGCTCATGATACCATCTACAGGTGTTGTTAGTCTATAAAGTGCTACCAGACCATTTGTTGTTTAGTCTGTTTAGAGTGTGCATTTGGAATTAGCCTGAAGTAGTCCTACAACTTTATTTTTGAAAATACAGATGTAATGAAACTGCATTAGCTAAAACAGATGTCCAGGAGGGAGTCAATAAAACATCCAAATCTAGGGTTGCCAGATGTCCGGTTTTGAACTGGGCAGTCCAGTATTTGAGTTTTCTGATTGGGAAGCAAATTGAGAAAATATAAATGAATAAATATAAATGTCCTGTATTTTCTAAATAAGATGTAATGTAGATTGCGATGTAATGTCAAGTGTGTCAGGTATTTTTGTTGAAACCATCTGGCAACCCTATCCAAATCAAAACATCAGGGATGGATGGGAAAGGAGTGTCCAATGGTTAGTCCATTTGCCTACCACTTGGGAGACACTGGGCCAATTCATTGCTGCACATTTCCTGTGTGGTAGTGTGCCACTGTCTCCTGCACAGGACACTCGCAGTGGGGTCCTGGAATATTTTTTTCACAATATGAAATATTCTTAGTATTCAAATGTACCAGTATAAACTATGTCTGTCACCTTGGTATCCATAGCTGTTTCTAAGCAACCACAAGAGTTTATTTTTTCTCCAGTTCACGTGGAAGAAATAATTTGTTCATGCATGAACCAAAATCAGTCTGAGCCACCACCCTGGGAGACTGGATTTGTAAACTATAATTTAAGCTAATTCTAGTTTAAAACATGAATTACAGTATTTTATATAACCTGAAAAAAACTACTGTATACATGTGAAAACACAAAATAGACACAATTCACATTAATAGTGCAGAAAAATTTGAAGCTGGGACTGGGAGTAACTCAAATTGTAACACATTCTTGACAAGCAAAAATGTTTCCCATGTGTCCTGTTTGCATATGAACAGGATTTTAGCAATGCATATTTATGCCAACGTTAAAAATGGGAAAAGAGAAGCTACCATGTTTTCCTCCTTTCAAGAAAAAAACACATAGCTTATGTACAGACAATTTGCATTCACTAGCTATAAATTAACTGTGTCCTTTAATAACTTTACAGAACGAATATCAACTTGTGATGGGGTTCTATTTTAATATTGATTTGCAAAAGCAACCACTTAAAGCAGTAATTGCTCGGATGTCTTACCTTGCATTAATTTGTAATACAGTTATTGGTTCTGGCAATCCTGAACAATTTATGCTTCAGAAGATCCTTCCACTGAATTGTAGCTCAAAAGTTAAAAGTATAGATGAAGTATTAAATGTTGTGTGATAATTTAAACTAAGTGTACTAAAGATAATCTACGTTATGACAAGTTCAGAGTTCTAAAAATGTATCTAATTTAGTGCCACTACCCTAATATATAATGATCAGTAAATGCTTCCATGGCCAGGGTATAACTGTTTCCCTTCTTGTGTTTTATGTAAATTCCATTTCATTATAGCAGTAGGACATTCCAGACAATGCATTTTAGGCTCATTATTGCCCTTTTCAGACTATTCATCACTTAGCCTTAGGCCAGCTCTGTGAAGGCATGTTACATTCCTCCAGAAACAGAAACAAATTGCAAATGTCCTCTTGCTTAACAATGTGGAAAAAATGACTACTGCATGCTTAAACTTCAGATGAGACTTTAAGAAATGCATTAGTGATAACATACAAACAGTAGTTTATATCATCAGTTTCTACATGTAATGACACAGCAATTACATATTCAGAAGTGGAATATTAAAAATATAATGAGGTTTATCTGTGCAGTTGAGTCTTATTTATTGACTGGTAACAGGTGTTGGAAGGAGATGTTAATTTACAACAGCAGGAAAGAAAGATGGTTTTATTGTTCAGGTACAGAAGTAGGAACTGGAAGATTTATTCCTGAAGTTGTCCTAGAATTTGTAGTATTAGGCCAGTTACTTAATACCCATGCCTCAGTTTCCTGTATGTAAAGTAACGATAATGAAATGTCACCTGTTGTGAGGGTGTACTCAGATGGTATAGTAATAACTAATGTCTATCATACATTAATAAAATAATGAACACTTCCTGTAGCTTCTTCATCTGTTGTTTTCAGTATGTGACCAGAACAGGAAAGTGAAATTAAGGAGTTTTCCAAGGCTCCAGAGGTGCTATCTCTTTAAGAATCTTAATATGACACTTTATTTCAACCTGCCATTATAGCTACCCCCAGGAAAATTGTGGGATTAAACATCTGGAAGCAGGAGGTGCCCAGGATAGAATCTGTTGCTCTTGGTCAGAGCCGCATTGCGTGAATGTCTGAGAACCACTGGTACAGGACCGTCAGAGAAGCTGTGTAGTTGCACAGTTGCTGATGCTGGTTTCCAGAGCTTAGCATGTAGAAGCTAGTGTTTGAGTCAGGGAAGCAAGTCCCTACTCTTCAGTAGCTGCTTTGTTCACTCCATTTTGTATGGATTGGGGAACGTTCTATTCTGTCAGATTCTTGGAGTAAATTTAAGACCTGTTCATTTAATGTTTGCTGGTCCTTCCAATAACATACCTGACCCTAAACTGTGGAAAAAAAGTGAAAAGAGATGTTGCTTGATTAACAAATATTCATTTAACGCTGTCAGTGTACAAGGTGCTTAATAGCACATAGACCAATACACAATCTCTAATGAGAAAAGCAGACACGTTAGCCTTTTTCTTAGCAAGGGTTCATGCAGTAAATGTACCCCCAAACTATTCAATGATATAAGGTATTTTGAAGTTTACTGTTGGGCAACTATAAATTCAACAAAGTAAGTATAAAGCCTCTCAGAGGCAATCAGGCAATATTTAATGGATTTAAACTCCTTGCTGGAGATTAACTGTTCTCATAGTAAAATAAATGCCATTGTATTTTGGAAAAATTCATGGATGGAATGGCCCCATTTAATTGATTATAGCCTGGTCTCAGATATTGCACAAATCAGTTTCAGAAGTTGGGGAGACGGAGTGTACGAAGCAACAGCGCTCCGGAACACACCATTTTTAAAAAAATGTGTGCATGTGCACAGAGAGTAAATTGAATTCTGTATTGTGAAACACTACTGATGCTTGGTGAAAAGCCCTGACCATGTGTACTGATGGGCTACGTCTAGACTGGCATGATTTTCCGGAAATGCTTTTAACAGAAAAGTTTTCTGTTAAAAGCATTTTCGGAAAAGAGCATCTAGATTGGCACGGACACTTTTCCGCAAAAGCACTTTTTGCGGAAAAGCGTCCGTGCCAATCTAGACGCGCTTTTGCGCAAAAAAGCCCCGATCGCCATGTTAGCCATTGGGGCTTTTTTGCGCAAAACAGTACTGTGCTGTCTACACTGGCTCTCTTGCGCAAATGATTTGTGCAAGAGGGCTTTTGCCCGAATGGGAGCAGCATAGTATTTCCGCAAGAACACTGACAATCTTACATGAGATAGTCAATGTTCTTGCGGAAATTCAAGCAGCCAGTGTAGACAGCTGGCAAGTTTTTCTGCAAAAGCAGATGATTTTGCGGAAAAACTTGCCAGTCTAGACACAGCCATGGAGTTTGAGGATGTATTCCTAGGTACTTACGCAGAACAGACTCTCTGCTAATGTGTTACTGTTCCAGGTGAACGCTTGATGAAATCTGATAGTTTCATAACATGGTAAATTTAATTCTAATTGCTGTTAGTCCAGTAACAAAGCAGTGCTTTCATCGAGCTTATCTGTGTCCCTTCCTCAAGAAAGGGAGAGAAATATAGAGACAGAAGAGAACATATATTGCAGTGCACCTGGAGTACTGCCATGTTTTCCTCCCTCCGTCAGTCTTAGAGTATTAATACACCAATGATTATTGTGAATATGGGATCTTTACTTTAAAATGCTATCAGTATTTACCATATTTATCTGGCTATAAAACTAGCCATGACACTTGCATGTAAAGCGTTCCATTCAAATCCTGGATTTTCAGCTAGGACAAATTTTATACACTTTTTTCAAAAATTCTGAGGAAAGGAGATTGGGGAAATCCTTTTAGTATCGATTTAGTTCTTGAGCCAAAATGTGAACTCCCCACTTCTTTTTGGCTTTGAAATGCTGATCCTAGCCTTGTTGTGGGTTTTTAAACACCTTCTCAAATGACCCATTTTAATAACCTGAAAGCTATTATATAACGAGCAGCCATAATTTAGTCCAAGACTCTAGGGGGACCCTCACAGTTCAGCAATGAATAGTTAATGCAGTATAATGTTTAGAAGATTATTAGTTTTCACTGTACAAATGCTGATCAGGGAACGCTTTTATAAGGTGTTTAAAAGAAAATGTAATTAACTGGTTGCATGCTTCCGTTACAGCTCAAATTGAAATTATTCCATGCAAGATCTGTGGAGACAAATCATCAGGAATCCATTATGGTGTCATTACTTGTGAAGGCTGCAAGGTAAGCTTGAGGGGAGGGAGGAATCCGTGTTTACCCTTTTGAGTTTGATTCTCTCCATTTGTAAATATCAAATTTTGTTTGGCTGTGATGTTGATTGTGTTTGCTTGATAAAGCTAGTAACAAATTTGCAAGTTTAAAATACAGTTTAAGAATAAGCTTGGATTCCTAAGTAATTTTTTTCCAAGCCCTTGGGACAGCTTCCAAAATCATAGGACTGACATCCCATTGTTCAGTGGATGTGACAGGAAACTGACACTGAATGAATAGAGGAGGTCTAGAAAGATGAGACCTTTCCAACAAGCCACAAAGAATCTGTTGTATGGATTCAGTTAGGTGGAATTTGTGGATTCCTTGATTTTTATGTTAAATATATTATTGGGATTTTGAGGGTTTGGTTGGTGGGGTTTTTTTATGGGGGGAGAAGGGGTTGGCAAGTTGCCAAGAAATGTAGTTGAAAGGTGGTACTTACAATTTCAGGCTTTTACGTTCCCTTTATAAACATATGTTTGTAATTTATTACCCTTACTTTTACATATATTTTATCCTGCATAGAAAACAGCATGAGATGAGAAAAATTGTGGGTGTTGTTGTTGTTGTTGTTGTTGTTTTTTATTAAAGATATAAAACCTTCCTGCTGGCAACTTTTTTTCATTGTGGTGCAATTTATTGCTGTGTGAGGTTTAGGCTTGGTTTTTTTGTTTTTTTTTTTTCTCTCCTGAAGTTGAATCTTTTAAACACTACTAAACTAAGATTTCTCTTGCAATGTTAACTCTCTCTTTGTTTGGGGTCAGTATTTTTCAACTCAGATTAAATAAATTCAGCATTAACATTGCCACTAGTGTGGATATGCTGCAGATATGGCCAAATACAGTAATCAGATTGAACTGGTAAAGCAAAGGCTCCCTGGCTATGTCTGTTAGTGCTAGTTCCTTCCCCCCTCTCCTTATTCACCATTCATGTTACCCAAAAGGGCTCACTCATCATCCCAAATTAGCAAAATGAATTGTGGTGGTGTTCCAGTTATGACAATGAATGCCCCTGCATCAAACACCATTTTGAATTCACAGGGAGTAGGCAATCATTTTGTCCCCCTGCCTGGCTAGGACCACCAGGCTGTGTGCTGGGAATAGGCGCTGCTCCATTTGTGGTAAAGGTGAACCTCTGAGGTCCGGTACTCTTTGGTCCATAAACATATGTGGTCCACCAGGACCACGGATGTTGCTGGACCGGAGAACCCCAGCCACAGAGGTTGCCAATGGCTGGCAGCCTGCAGGGCTAATGGCTGGGGGGGGGGCAGAGTGCGGAACCCCGCTGGCCAGCAGTTTGGAGTATAGTCCTGCTGCAGCCAGAGTGAGGCTGGCTTGGAGAAAAGCCCTGCTAGCCTGGGGGCAGGGAGCCCTGCCAGCGTGGGGGGGTTCATCACCCCACCTGGGGCCCACACAGAGCCCCGCCAGCCAGACCAGGGCCAGCACCCGGGGGAGGGGGAATTCCTGGGAGGAGGCGGGTGCAGGAGACTCCCTGCCCTCACTGACACCCGGCACCCCTCAGCCCCCTGTTCCCTGTGCCCCCTGTTCCCTCTTCCCAACCCCCTCTTCTCACTTCCCAGCCACAGAACTCTGTCCCCACTCATAGAATCATAGAACCATAGAGCTGGAAGAGACCTCAGAAGGCCATCAATCCAGCCCCCTGCTCTAGGCAGGACCAACCCCAACTAGATCAACCCGGCCAGGGCTTTGTCAAGCCGAGACTTAAACACCTCTAGGGATGGAGACTCCACTACTTCCCTAGGGAACCCATTCCAGTGCTTCACCACCCTCCTAGTGAAATAGATTTTCCTAATATCCAACCTGGACCTCTCCCCCCACAGCTTGACTCTGCACTTGTCCTTGTTGAACCTCATCAGATTTCTTGTGGCCCAATCCTCCAATTTGTCTAAGTCACTCTGGACCCTATCTCTGTCCTCCAGTGTATCTACCTCTCCCCCCAGCTTAGTGTCATCTGCAAACTTGCTGAGGGTGCAATCCATTCCCTTGTCCGGGTCATTAATAAAGATACTGAACAAAACCGGTCCTAAAACTGAACCTTGGGCACTCCGCTAGAAATCGACCGCCATCCTGACATCGAGCCATTGATCATTCTGTCCCCACTCCTCTGTCCCCAGCCACAGAACTCTGTCCCCACCTGCAGAAACCTGTCCTCTCTCCTCCCAGCATCCTGTTCCCTCTCCCCTGCCCCCAGCTGCAGAACTCTGTCCCCACTGGCACCCTGTCCCCTGCCGAAGCACCCACTAGCACCCTTCCCCAGTACTATTTCCCCTGCTCCCACCAACACAGTTGGGCCACATTAGTGAAGCTTGTGGGGGAGGAGGAGTTGCAAGAGGGGTTTTTTGCATCTCACTTGTGTGGCCCCAACTGACTTTTCTGTGGGTCAGTGACCCCTGACTCAAAACAGGTTCCCTGCCCTTCTCAGAAAGAAAGACAATTCAGAAACACTTTGTGTTTGACATTAGTATTTTATTTAAAAATTAAGCTTGGCCAACAAACCCCCAATTGGGGCAAAGCCCCCATCTGGCCACGGCATCATTTCACTCCCCTTTCCCCAGACCCTACATCTGAGCCTATCATACACTGGAACCCCTTGCCCTGAACCCCTCACATACTCCAACCCAAATTCCTGAACCCTCACATCCAGAAGTCTGTGGCTTGCTTAGTACCCCAACCCTCCATCTGACCCCAACACTGCCCGGCCTGGAGCCCCTCCCTGAGCCAGCGTCCCCTTATCCACCTCCTCCTGCATTCAGATTTCCTCCCAGAGCTTGCACCTCTCACCCCTTCCCACACTCTAATCCCTCATTCGCACCCTAGAGCCTACACAAAGGAACGGCTAGACTGCAGGAGTTATTCAGGATTCCGGAGATATCCCAGAAAAACTCTTCTGCATCCAAGGATGCGTTTGTTCTTCCACTTCTTTTAGTGGAAAAGGAAACATGATCTTTCGGTCACCCCTATATTCATCTTTCCACGAGGAATAAAGGGGCTTCCAAAAGAAGGGGTTTTTCTGACATTTGTTCTGGTCTAGACAGGCCAAATGTTGGAAAAACCTCTTCCTATAGAAGAATTGGGAAAAAAAAGCAGCAGTATAAGTGTTGGGGATAGCAAGTGATGGAGAGGAGGAGAATAGACAGGGCAGGGCTTAAAGGAAGGGCGGGGCGGTAGATCTTGGCTTGGTCTGTCATTTAAAAAGTGATCTTGGGTATAAAAAGGTTGGAGATGGCTGGATTGAGGCAAGACTATACAACACACAGACCCCATTTAAGTCAGCTCTGTTGATATTAATAAAATACAGTATTTACCCAATTTCCACCTATATGGCAGCACTTTTAATGAGCAATGGCAGTCCAGGACTGTAACTACTAAAATGCATAGCAACAGAAGACTATTCTGTTGACTACTTTTTTGTTTTGGCTCCCACCCCCGGAACGCGTTAAACCCAAACCGTACCGTGGGCCACAATGCTGAGTAGCCCTGCTTTAACTCAACAGTGTGGTCATAGCACTAGGGCCAGGAGAGCTCTCTCCCAGGACTGTAGGAAACCACTTGAATGAGGGGCATAGCTCCCAGGGCTGGACGCATGTCTACACTGGCACTTTACAGCTCTGAAACTTCCAGTGCTCTGGGGAGATGATTTTTCAGACCCCTGAACAAGAAAGCATCAGTGCAAGAAACTTGCCACTGTAGACAAGCCCTAGAAGAGTGCAGAGACTAGGCACAGAATCCCAAGATGCTCCCTCTCTGATTTGCTAGTCTGGTCTCCCTCCAAAGGGCACCAATAATTGGCAAGTAGTGCATGTTCCATGGAAGATCTTGACACACTAGGGTCCATTATTCCTTTTTCAGTGGAAAAGCTTGGTTTTGTTGTTACTACTGTGGCTGCTAGAGATGTTAACAGTTAACTGGCTACCCGGTATTTGAGGATCAGCCACACAGGCGGAGGGCTGCTCCAGCCCCACCAGGCCCCCATGCGGGACTGCTGTCTCCCAGCCCATTCGGACTGGGAGCTGGCAGCCCCACGTGGGGCCAGAAGCAATAGCCCACAGGTTGCTGCTTCTGGGAGCCACTGCAACTTCCAGGAACCACTTCTCGGGGCATCAAGTGGGGCTGCCACTTTCGACCCCATCTGGGCTGGTCGAAAGCAAGCTAGGCTGGAGCAGCACTTGCCCACAGATGGGGGAGGTGACACTCCAACTGAGCTGTGGTGGGTGGGAAGGAAGCTGGAGTGGCCCCCTCCTGCCTGCCCCTGTTTAATCAGTTAACCGGTTAAACTTAATGTTTAACTGCTTAACTAATTAAATGGGATGGTTCATCCCTAGTTGCTGATGCTGTTTGGTTTTGTTTTTTTGTGGGGGAGAGACTAAAAAACAAAAATCACTTGGGTTAGCCCAGTATTTGTCCTGTCCAGATCAAGTGCAGCAAGAGGCAATTTTTTTCCTGAATGAAAATATTGGCTCTTCTGATGCAAGAGAAAACCCCTTCTCATATGCTCCATTAGCCTTCTGAAGGTCTGTCTTTGTACTTGGCGCTACCTGAGACACAAAATCAAGCAAGCCACAACCAGTTAGTCATTGTCCTTCTCAAGCTGTCCCAAAGGGCATGGTTATCCTGATATCTGCTTTGAGATACAGGACGTTCCAGCTTACCAGTACCTCAGTGGCTTCTTATCAAAGTCTTATTCATTTGAACTGGGAGTCCTTTCATGCTCTACCTTGATTTTTCCATAGAATATCAAGTCAAGCACAGGATCTCTGTTCTTTCTGACAAGGCTCTCAATGGTCTGTGTGCAAGATATCTAAAAGATCACTTAACACTACAAGATGAAGATTATGGTCAACCTCTCTATTCCTGTGGCTCAGTGGAACTTTCTGCTGTAAGGATAAAGCTAATACTAAGGAGACAGCTTCCTTGGGGCTGGTTGCAGACTTTGGAACAAATTCCCACAGGAAC